TCTTCTCAGAATGGCTTCCTATCCAGAAATGTCTGCCTCCAATTTAAACCCCAAGATTATTTGCATTTTTAAAGACTATTTTGTAATTCAAATTAGAGCATCAGAGTGTGTATGAAAAGTCACCTGCTTTCTAATGATGGTGATCTTATCACTTTTGGAACAGACACTTGGCATCTCTCAGAACAATTAAGAACAATTGAAAACCTCTGTATTTGTCTGAGAAGTATGCCTTGTAAGGACTCAAGAGTGCTCATTCTTCTAGCTTTTCCTTTACTAAATCAATTTGAAACTTCATTTTTAGCATTCCATAAATCTCATTTTCAGCGCTGTAATTTCTTACTTGCTGCACCGTTTCAGTCGTCTTTTCATGTAACAGCATTTCACAGAGCCTTTGTCATGCAGAAATATATCTTCCTGTTTTGAGGCTTTAGTGGGTCAGAGTATCATTAGCAAACACCACAGCCAATAATTTCTGAAATCCTGAAATTTGTGCACTGTGTACACCAGGTAAGAATGAAGAATGTCAAAATCTCAGCCGTAACGATCAGATTTCCCCACTTGTCTACTGAAGTCAGTCTTCCCCTGGGTTCCTTTATAGCTCATTAAACCAAACAAAAAGGGGCTTATACAGAAAGAAAAAGTTTGACATGATCAACTAGCTTTGCTGGTAATGTGTGCAATCCACCCAGATGTCTAGACAGTTTGAAAAATACAGATGGCATTCAGAGGTTACAGCTGTTACTCCTCAAGTCTCCCTCTTGTAGGACCTCAAATTAAGTAGGAACAGACCCTATCAAAGTTAGGTGGTCCAATTCCAAAGGAAACATCTCGTGTGTGGCAGGAAATTAAGTTATTGATTCAGTAGGCAGCACTTCACCTTTCAGATCAATGAACCACCTGGTCAGTCTACAAGGAAGTCCTGCACTCCCAAGGCGCCTGCTTTGGGAAAAGGCAGAGAACAAATTGGTCAGAGCTTCAAGTGTGGGAAACCTGCAGTATTTTTTTGTAAGAGGAAAAAGAAAAGCAACACCTGCATCCTGGCCTGATGCCATCTTAGGCAGGTGTTCCTCGCCTGCTCTGCTTACTTGCCCTGTGTAGTAGGAAGTTGCAGGGTATGTTTTCTTATGCAGGCTTCAGACAGTACTATTAGATCCTTCTAAATAATAGTTAGTGGCTCTGCAAGAGGTAATGAGGTGAAACGTGGATAGATGCCCATAAGAATAGGTATTTTGGAACTCCCAGGACAACCATGAAGGTTATCCAGAAGTAGCATCTCTTTCTTGGCCTGTGCCCCCCGTTGCCATCATACCACTAGGCCTCCCTGGGACACGAGCTGCTGACTGTGGAGCAATCATACAAGATGTGAAAACACAGCACAAGGCACCCGAGAAGCCCCCTGATTCCTATGAGATGCAAGTCTGAGCAAAGCGGAAAACTACAGATTAAATCCATTCTGTGCCTTAAGATACTGTACTTGTGTAGGTGAGGCTTTGGAGGAACGTGTGAGTGGAACAGGGGCACAGACATCTGCAGTCACATCGCATTGCTCCCAGCCAAGTGACTTTACACAAACTGTAACTGGCTGGGATGCTGCTGGAACTGGGTGAGCACAGGGAAATGGGGAGGCATCCCTGCTGGGCTGGGACATCTCCTGCTTGACTCAAACGTATCAGAGTTCTGAAAAAATACTGAGGTATTTGATCTGCTTCGTTGTGTTTGCGAATCTGTCGCCTACTTCACTTACAGAGGGAGAGAAGAGTTTTGTTGCTCAGCTAAGTTACAGTAGCCCAAAAGGCAGCCCAAGCCATGAAGAAAGTACAGCTGGTCAGCGTTGCACAGCACGGTCTGAATACAAATAGGGTCGTTTGTGCAGGCACGGCTCTTTTGAAGAGACTGCAAACCACCTTAACTTTTATACACTGCGGCAACATGTGAGCAAAGGAATGTGGCTGGTCTGTGCTAGTCCCAGAAAAGGTCCCAGATGAGGCCAGCAGATTGGGCAGCAGACGTGCAATACGGAGCCTATGAATAAAACACACAGACTTGTACCTTCCCTGTGCTACGTGTGTATGTGAGCAGTGCGACGGGCAGGAAACCGGCACCGAGATGCCACAGGAACAGAATGCACAAGGGCAGCATGAGCACCCGATGGGAAGAGCAACGCTGAGCAGTAAGCAAGCTGTAAAACACAAGTCAGACAAAACATCTGGCAGCCGCTTCAAATAGTTCTGTGTCTGAAGGGCAGACAAGCCTGCAATAATCTCAAATCAAAACACGTGCAAGGATAGGATCAATGCTCAGTGTGCTTTGTACAAGTATTGAATGAGTTTTGTTTCCTTCAGGACTGTTTCATATGCCAAGAAAGGCCGTGCTTTGGGTTAGGTTTTTAATTTTAATCAACTTTACTAAATAAATCACTTGTATTTCCCTCTCCAGTCAACTGCAACATAGTTGTTGGCATAGGATCAACAGCATTAGCTCTGCGTAGGAAGTACATGGGAGAGAAGGAGAGGGTCATGCTAGCAAATGTTTTTCATGATTGTATTAACTTCTTCAGGCAAGAAAGTGCAACTGCAAAATTAAAAAAAAAAAAAAAAGCAGAACAAAAGCATAATGCAAATGCTTCTACTTTGTCCATCTCAGGCACAGGGAACAGGAAGACTGTCTGGAAGAGATTGGGTGAGAATGTGACAGGTACAGCCCGATAGCTGGGCTCTGTGCAGGAGATTGCTTGAGCTCAGAGAAATTGTTTCATTAGCAATGTGCGTCAGCACTACAGATAAAGGAGAAAATCAGCAACTGTCCTTCCCCTCCTCACAATTTTGTTTTGTTTCTGTTGTCATAGCTTTGGCCAAGACCTGCACAGGAATGCTTACTGGCACTGATGTGCTACATGCTAACCTGCACCCAAGAACAGCTTTGTTTTTGAAAGGAATTTTGACATGACTTCTACAGTACTGACATGCTTCCTTATCAGCTACTAAAGGCATCCAGAGAAAGCTTTCTCTTCACACTTCTAAACTCAAATAACTTTTACCAAAGCCTCAGCTTGAACAAAAGCTCCTGCTTACCCAGAGCAGCAACACGACAGCCAGATTCTCTGCAGGATTGTCACAGTTCTCCTGTATCACCAGCAAGGCAACAGCAATCAAACTACTGAAGCCAGAAGCCTCCTGTAAAACGTGGAGCTAAGTTCCACATGCACAAATATGGGTAGCCAGCAACAGCAGAGAGATAAGAGATGCTGACCAGTGGAAGAGCATTAGTTTTCAAGGAGGCTCTAGTCAGTACAACCAGGACTTGTAATTTTTAATGCTGCTCATAAAAAGGAGCAGGCCTGCCTGCCACATGCAGGCAATAGGAGGGGAAGCAGAAAGCCACTGATTCATTAGGATTTGCTAATCTGTGATATCATTTGTTGATTCCAGCAGGCCCAATCCCCATCTCATGACTTCCTCCGCTGTCACCATGGCGCCGTACATAAACATTGTGAACTCCCAGCCTCGAGCAGGTCATTTATTTCAAATATTCCATGCAGTTGGAACACAAGCCTGTTTGGGTGTCTGGAGCCGAGCATGAACTAATTTCTCAGTCTTCTGCACTTGCCCCACCTTACGGGCCCTCCCCAGCCTGCTGTGCTCCCAGCATCCCTCCAAGTCACACTTTAGCAAAGCAGAGGCAGCCTTACCCTGAAGCTGGCAAGAAACACGTTTCAATCAGGTCCCCCACTACCCACAGCAGAACAAAACAGCAATTATTCAGCATGCTGACTACTTAACTTCAGATCCACAAACAATTGTCTTCTTTGAATGGGAAAAGCAAACAAGATGAAGACTTCCAAAATCCAAAAAATTATTGCCATGATTGGAGATGGATAAGAAACATTTTTTATTTTAAAAAGAAAAAATCTGTCTCACCCGGTACCCTTATAAGGAAGTTCATGAGCATACCTCTGAGCTTTAGTTGAGCCTCACATTTTGTAGTGTTTATGTGAACTGACGAAATCATTTGCTTTTCACACGCAAGTTAGTAGCTGCAGGCAAGATGGAAAAGTATGAGGACAGGAGGCAGAAGTAAAGCCTTTATCATAACTGAAGTTAAGTTCAAAGCCATCTCAGCTCTGGTCTGTCTGGAGATGCTGATAGAATTTGAGAGCACCTAGGTACTGCTCAGATTGGAAGTGGAAGAAACTGCAGACCCTAGTAGCAAGCAAGAGACAGTTTCTGCTCCAGAAACAGTATAATCCACAACGCTTCACAGCCCAGGAATGAAGCCTCCTGTGCAAACAGATCTGTCAAAACTGACCACAACTTACAGCAGTGGTAGGGAATAACTAAAAACTAGGATCAGGTGACTTAAGATAAATCAAGCTGGTAAGCTGAGAGCATCCAGAATGCACTGAAGTCAGACTTCTTGAGTGAGTGATCCAGTGTCAGCTCCCACCACTTGGCTTGACCCACCACAGCACTTCCACTAGTTTGCAATGCTGTGCTACTGGCTCGAGGATCCATTTTATTTCACTTTTTTTTGTTCACCATCTCCCTTCCTAAGATGGAAAGGAACAATCAGATGGCAAAATGAAGCGGTAGGTTAGAGCCTTGCTTCCACATGAGCCTCTCTCCTGGAAGAAAAATATTCCTGTATTGCAGCAGGCAAGCATTAAAGTTTGACAAGATAACTGGAGCCCTAGTCTATTGAATCCACTCAAATAGGAGTGCAGTGGAGTGATGAGTCACGAATTTTATTCAGCTCCACCTTGAACAGCTGTCTTTAGGCACGAGCAGCAGACTCATATTCTCAGGTTCCCACTCCCTACCTTAGCTGCACCTTGCCCTCCACCTGCACATCACTTTTATATGCCAGCTTTCTGTTGGGTTGGGTTTTATTACATGCCATGTTCTTCCTGTTGGGTTTGGGTTCTCAGTAGGAAGCTCACCATTCACACAGACACCAGGAGTAGAAAACACTGAGCATTTCATACACATAAATGCGTCATCAAGCAATATTTAATAAAGTTTATTAGGTTATTGAGTATTATCTACAGCCATAAATAGGAAGTGAGAGTTTAAAACTGTACAAAATGTAATGGAGAAGTGAGAAGAGATGGAGACAAAGGAGCGTAAGAGTAATAGAAGTGGGGAGAACACAGCTGCTTCCCAAGAGTTAGAGAAGACACTGGTTCAGGCTGAAGGCAACCATGTAGAGTTCCATACACACTGTATTTTATTGTGCAATTTGTGTCCCACCCTGCAACAGAAACTAGTACAAACCCCTATGTTAAAAAAATCATAAAATATTAGATTTAAAAAAGAAAGGGGCTTATCACACCCCACCCAGTCTTGGCACCAATTCTGTGCTTTAAAAATATACTATGCAAGTAGTTTAATTTTAAAAAGGTACCCTACAGCAGCTGTTTAAAACATGTTCTTATACATACACCACAAATATATATATTAACATTTTCAACAACTAAACTCATTTGTACCTACACAGAACTGAGGGAATAACTCAAGAGCAAAAAAAACCAACCATACAAACATTTTTTCAAGACAAAGAAATGTGCAAAATAACCTCAGAAAGGCAGCATAGTAACCTGCGGAGAGGTCAAGAGAGCAGCTCCTGTTAGTAAAGGAGTGTCATCCTCTCTTCACCTGGCTACTGAGGCAAGAATCTATTTGGGATGTGCTGATTTTGCCTGAATTGCTAGTCCTGTTTATTGAAACTCTCCCCTGCCAAACCCCCAGCTCTGGAGAGGTTCTCTTCTTGCTGAAGATCACCCCATTGAAGTCTCACGTGTTACATTCTGAAGCAACCACTTTCTGCATTCCTGGTCTTCCTATGGCACTACTGTAGTCACACTGCTACCTACCGCCTTCTCTGGGATGACTTCCCCAACCCTAAGCAAGAAACAGAACTATTCCTGCTGCATAGCTAAGTGGAGATTATGCTGATGGTCTACAGCAGATGAAAGCCTGATTTGGGTGACTAAGCAATCTATTCAGGAAGAAAATTTCCTGGAAGTCATTAGAGAACCACTATGTTTCTCTAAAGCTTTAACCTGGAACAGGCTAAACAGAAAGCAGACCTAAGATAGCAAGACCTACAGCTGTATAACAAGTGTCAGAGCTCATCCAGCCTGTCTCACCAAGGAGTGCTTTACAGGAAACGCTTGTCCCTTCTTTGTCCCTGCATCAGCAAGGAATCCCAAACTAAAACCTACAGCTTTAATTCAAGAGGAAGAGGGCAGGTGAAGACATGGGGTGGCTGCTCAATCAGCTGAGACAGCCACTCAGAAGCAGCAGGACAGAGAATGGAGCAGGAGAACTGAGAAGGTGATGGTGATAAACAGGAAAGCAAGATTCACTTTCTATGAAGTCTATGAAGTAACATTAGAACATGGTGAGAGGTCTTGGCAGAGACAGACACGAGCAATATGATGACCACCTCCTCCAAATAAAGCATCCTGGTGGAACGGTTCTTGGTTTTGGTGTTAGGGTTTTTTTTTGGTTTTTAAGAACTCAGCAATGATTTCCTCTTGGTATTCCAGACTCTTCCCAATTCCACTGGCCACCCCATGCCTTTCCATTCTTAGCACCTAGTCTTAAGATATTCACTCCTAGTGCCTTCCGTTCCCCCAACTATGCTCTTCCCTTAAACTGCTATAGAAGAAGGGCTCACTCCCAGGCTCTACGACCCCAAGGATGCAGTACAGCCTTTTATCAGGAGAAGCAGGGAAGCACAGAGCTTCTGTTAAGTTTCCTCTTTAAAACTGTGCTGGGGAAGTGACTTCCAAAGAACAAAACACTCCATCGCAAAATAAAGACTACTCGAGAGCTCGCCAATAAGGGCACATGGAGATTTTTAGCAGTAACAGGAGTACTTTGGCCAAGGATTTCCAACAGTAGCAATGACACGAGGGTGGCGAACGCACTGCCCAGTGGGTCAGCTCCAGACATTTTGCCTTGGTTTCAACTCTCTGTCCCAGAACATGAAGGTCATTGGTAGAGCAGGTAACTCTTGAGGGAGGCTGGCAGTGGCAGGGTAGGGATCTCATTCAGCCTTTCCTTGCCCAGAGCAAGCCTCACAGCTCGCCGACACAAGTCCATCAGAGGCAGTGGTTCAGCTGGAAAAGAGAAGACCCGAGACATTAACATCTCAACCTACAAGCTACGTATTCATTTTGTTAACTCTGAAAATCCCTCCCCCCACAAAAACTGAGCAGGATAAGCAAATGCCTGGCCTGTTCACAAAACCCAAGCCATTTAGCATTCACAAATCAGCGGCTTCAGCTCATCAAACATGCAGGCAGAGCATGACATCTCTGTAGAATTGTGTGAAGGAAAAGATGCTCAGGTTCCCTGAAGAAAGTTTATACTCTGCAATACCATTCATTAAAGTTAGAACACAAGGTCTAGCTTCTACCTTTCACTGCAGAATCCAAAAAGCTTTCAAAGATTTACTGAAGTAAAAGACTGCAGCAAACAATTTGATAGCATCAGGTGGTAAAAGTACCCAGGAAGTACTGATGTGTTTTTTACATAATAGGATAACAGCTGGCCCCCCTTTTATTTATGCTACATACTTCCCAAAGCAAAGCCATATGTCAAAGCTTCATGTCATTACTCATAGGAAGAAATGCTCTGATGGGAAATGTCACAATACATCAAAAACCTGGGAAAAATACAAGCCTTTGGCTACTATTTTGGCATCTTACACACTTACTGAACAAGACAATACTAGTTTTTCAGGCAGGGTACGTGGGGTCCTTTGTTGCTGAAGAGTCATTTGTAGCATAAGAGATAGAGGTCAGAGCCAGAGCGAACACATTACAGCTGCACAGGAGGAATGTGCAGATTACCAACAGAAGCTGGGAGAAACCAAGTCTGTCCAAGCTCACCTGCACACTGCTCAAGGGGGGTGGGGGCTAAAAAGAGACAGCTAAAAAAAGGCATCCCAAGCCAAGTAGGCAACTGGATATCCTTTAATAGCCTGAATGCTCAGCATGCATCATTAAAAGCTTAGAGACATCTTAGACCAAACACACCTAAAGACTTGCATTTTTGTGGATAAGTTTGGCTGAGAAGCTGCAGTTTTCAGAAACCTTGATAGATGTCAACCAGCTTCAGCTTCTACTACACCCCAAATTAATCTGGTTGTTCATGCAGCTGCTTTAAGCTTTCCTAGTCTCTCAGCTGTCTATTTTCTAGGCACGATCATGTTACTGTATTTCTTACCAGAAGCCATTCTGTCAATAAGGTGGACACAAGTCCCTTCTTTCCAGGCTCAAGGATAACAACACTAAAAAGCTCAGATAGAAGCATTGTCAGTAGTCTCTGATTAGATCACTCCCGATTCTACTTTGGAAAAAATAAACAATCACACTGCTCCACATTAAAAAAAAGCAGCATTTCAAATAAGCAACAGAGAAAGCAGTTTATCTAGTTTTTGGCAAGAATTCTGAAAAGGAGAACTTGCTTGCTGAAGAGAGACTTGGTAACAGGAGTTGCACTCAAACTGGTCCAACTCCTGTAGTTAGCAGAGAGCTGGACCAATGCCTTATTTCCCTCAGTCAATCCCTGCTAAGTATCACAAGCTACCACCTTCTGCAGAGGAAGCTGCAGCACGATGTATTTGTTTGTTTGTTTACAGCAGTTCTCCTGAGTTGTCCTTGTGCTTCAAGCATCATTAACGAGGCATCATACCTCCCTAAGTACAGCTCTTCTGCAAAAATAGGTGGGTGGAGAGCAATCAAACAAATCCGTCAGGGCAGTGCTGCTCCTTCCCAAGCCCTACAATTTGTCACCCATGTTCTGTGCTGGAGAGTAGCCCCAGGGCTGCTCAGTGCCTTCCTGCAGAGCATTGCTATGCTCAGCCCGAGGCACTGCTGCTCTTGCCTGCTCATGACCTACTTCAAGATCCATGCTGCCTCTTTGGCAGGCACAGGTCTCTCTGTACAGCAGGACTACACGTCTCACTTCTGGCTGTGATGCTACCAGAGAAACTTATTACTGGCAACATTCCTTTGGCACTTGCCAGTGTAGCTAACCCTTAAAAACTGTACCTCTGAAGTACAAATACACCCTATTCCAAATCTGTCCCAACTCCTCTTGCTCCGTACGGAGATGGCTTGGACAGAGACAAGTCTAGCCAGAGGACAGTGGCCATAGGGGCCAAGGGGTCTGGACTTTCAAAGGCTACAGGCATCAACTTAACAAATAATTCCCATTTAACAGTCTTAAAAGCTGAGAAGATCACATTCCCACAGAGATTAAGAAAAAGAACTTTGTCCTCGCCTAGTTTGCACTGATAATCCAGTCTTTGCAAAGATAGACCAGAAGAGAAAGCACACACATATCTGACCTTCTTCCATTCACAAGCACCACAATCGCTGGACACAGTGCAGCTATTGAATGCTGAGAAGTGGTTGGAGCCAGACACCTTCTTTCTACGTGTGCCAAAATAGCGTCCTGTCATTCCTGGCCTTGTGCCCATGATTCACTCCTATGCCGAGAGCACATTACAACCAAATCCAATACAGGAGGTGGCTGTTTCCCTGTTAAGTGCAGTTCTGCACAGACAGCTCCACAGACTTGCTGGCTCTGAAAGGAGCTGCAAGTTTTGGATTTGACCCTCCCAAAAACCTGGTTACTGGAGCTGCTGCCGTTCTGTAAGCTGCTGTGGCAGGACAAGCTAGGTTCTTTCTTTTTGTTGGTGAGAGAATGCTTTGCCAAGAGCTCTTAGTTCAAAAGATTGCAATTCTCCAAGGTTCAGCCTCTCCTGCTCTAAAAGCTCATCTGCTAAAATGCTGATGGAAAGAAGGCTGACTGTAGGAAGGAAAAAAAAAATATGGAAAGAATACACCTTTTACTGAGCATTAAGACAGTTTTTCGACATCCCTACAGTAAGCAAGTGCTTACTTTGACTTCTGCAAGTTCCTTAAAGTCATTCCTCTGAAGTGTAAGTGAATAGCTATCGTACCACTGAATAAGAAGAAATAGTTGTTCAACAGAAGCGTTTAAGCAGCAGGAGATGCTATATGTTACTTTTTCCCTAGTCTGACCAGGATATGTTGCTTTCTACCCACATTAAGACAGGGCACATCAGGGATGCAAGTATCAGTATTGATACCTCCACTGGGTCGTGCTGAGTTTAAGCATGTTTCTCACACTTGTGGAATGTACACTGATGTTCTCACAAGGCTTTTCTGGTTAGTCTGACAGCCCAGTTTTCTGGTGCCTAGTGCCACTTGGCTGCACCTCACATCACCAGTACTAGGAGCTTGCCACTGCTAGCCCAGCATTAGAACAAATACATTCTGAGCACAAATAAAAGCCCAGTATGCTACAGCCTTTGGGCAGACGCTGTTCTGAAATGCAGGGGAACTACCTTTCTCATTATCAATACCACCTGATTTTTATTTCAGTAACAACGATCCAGATTTTCATCCACTTCCTTCACCTCTCTCCTCCATCCTATCCAGAGTCACAATCTAGTCCAACAGGAACCTTTATGAGAGATAAGACTTCAGCACATGTGGGCAGCCAAACCTATTACTAAGCTTAGCAAGGGACTGATGTTACTATTACTAAAAGACCTAGCACACAAGTTGTCCTGGCTATAATATCCAGCCCCCACACTAGAAATGAGAACAGCCTGCCATGAAAGAAGCAAGCTACTTTCTTCAAAGATGAGACATAACCACTTCCTCAGACAGGGACCAATCTTCCCACTCCTTCCTGCAGGGAATTTTCAAAGTCCTTTCATAAGGCACTGCAAGAATTGTCCCTCAGAGACTGCTCCCTGTAAAGCAGCACCAGGATTACATTGCAAACATTGCAACTATCATCAGCAATGTCCTTTTTTTGACGTTTTGGTAGCAGTACAGAAAGGCTTGTCAGTCCAGATAAACAACTGGCATCACCCTCTCTCACTATACTACTTTCCTGAATTTCAGTTGCTCCCTGCAATGCATTAGTAGCAGCACCCAGTCAGACAAGCTCTACTTCAATTGCCACTAAGTATTTGGAAATTTCTCTAAATCCTACAGCTGACACGAAATCCTCGCCTCTTCCACAAAGCAAAACCCCTCAACAATGGTGTAGTAAACCTGCACATAAGCAGCACACAGATTTGGGTTGCTAGAACAAATACAGAGATTATACTCACGGTCAAGTCCGTTCAAGTAGCGCATCCTTATTTCACAGTGTCCCCACACCGCGCTCACCACTGGATACAGCTTTTTCCCTTTAAGTCCCCGAAAGGCAACACCCATATATTGCCCATCTACAATAAAACTCAGCGTCCCATCATCCATGTCCAGAACCACCAGGAAGGAATCCGGCACAATGAAAGTTTCATCTGGTTCTAGGAAGGCAGGATAGGTTTTACTTGGCTGGTTCTTGCCATCATGGTACAGTCTGTTGCGCCCAAGGTCCCATCCCCACGATTCATGGTTATTTCCTACAAGTGTGGTGTACCCTACAGAATGCAAAGGGGCATCTGCTGTTGCCACCCCTACCACAGCATGTGTGCCTCGCTGCCGCATCGCCCACGTTATCTGCCACACATGCAGTCCTCGTGTGTATCCCACTTTGCCTCTGATAGCATCTGTGCTCTGAGCCACCGGATGCCGGTGAAATATGAGCTTATCATCCTCCTTCACAAATACATTCAGCGAGCGATCATCATTGTTCCATGAATGCAATAATTGGACATCATAGGATACAGGAGGCATGTCCAGTAGCAAGTCCAGACGCGTGGGTTTGCTGTAGTCAAGTCTGTGGAGCTCCTGCTTCAATGGTCTGTATACTGGGTCCCTCATATCCACAGTCTTTATCCCACCTGTGACCTTTTGACCCATCGTGGGTTCTGATTTTGCCTACTTAGAGGCTCCCAAGGCAAGCTCATCAATTCACCCAGCTGCTTCTGCTTTCATTCAGCTCTACAGAAAACGTTGCTCGGAGACCTTGTCAAGATGTCCACTAGTCAGTATTGCCTAATGGATGGAAAGAAAAACAAGAGACAAGTTAAACACACACACAGCCTTGCATGCAACATTTACAGAGCACAGTCTCAAGCTGTTTATCTTGACAATCCATCCTTCCTTTCCACCAGCAAAGGTAACGCATACCACCTAAGCAGTGCACCCTGCAAAGCAGAGACTGCACAGTGCCTATTTCATTTCTAAGGCACTAATGTCCTCTTCAAAAAGGCACTTGAATTCCTCCTCACTTCTCTGAAGGAGGTATGGATTCAGCTACTGGAGCTCATTTCTTCCAGAGAACGCACTGCTCCTTACTCCCACACTATTAAACTTCGAGAGCTCATCTGCAGTCAGACTGTACAGCTGCCCCTAGTTTTACATCATTATCCAAGCTGGAGAGTTTGAGCAAAGGATTTCTCCTCTACCAGAAGACTGAGAGCAGTAATGCCTGAGATCACGGCACTCCTGGACTGTCTTTGCTTTGTCTACCAGCTCTACTTCCTACAACAAGGACAGGCTGAGCACAGCTCTCAGTGAAATACCAGACTGCCCACTGGTGTTACCTATTCCACCTCCTTCCAACCCCCTTAGAGAAGTTCTCCAAGCTAAGGCTCCACAAAGGAGCAAAAAGTCACAAGGCATTTTATATCCAGAAAAAGAATCCAAACAGCTTCAGTAAATATCTAAAATATACACCTGAGTTTACAATTCCAGTGGTTTTGGGCCCCTTAGTAATAACCTGCTAGAGCTGACCAGTACAAGGCACTGGTTTATACAGAAAACTACTCTGCAGAGCTTTAATCTGAGCCATCCCTAGCAGCAAAGAGTAAAAATCCTCCGCAGCTTTAGATGCTGGAACTGGCTTTCAGGAGAAAGCAAGTCATTCACAATACAGTTTCCATTGCAGGAAAAGGAAAGCAGGCTGCATTTCAGGAGATACATTCACGTTCCAACTCGAGATGATGATCACAGTTAAGGTTTGCAAACAGAACAGGCACTGCAAATAATCCTGGTTCCTACAGTGTTTTTTTCAGGGTCCAAAATAACTTATTCACATAGCACACAAGATGAGCACTTGGCATTCTTTTAGCAGGTACTCCACTGCTTCCTACACAGTGCTTCCAGATCTGACAGACGTTCCAAGATGCCAGGGCTTTTCTGGCTGACATTTGTAAATGAAAGTTCTTGGGGAAACCCTACAACACAAGCATCCCCAAAAGTCAAGGCTATATACCCCAGACATGCAAACACAGGGATTGCCAGGCAAGGTCATCCAGCCATAAACAGCTTTTATTCCTCCCTCAGCACTCAAACAGTTCCAAAAGATAAATAAAAACAGCGCTGAACACAAACCATCTCACCAGAACAGTGATCAAACAAGGCAGGAGCTGGGCAGTAAAATGAGAGTTTATCCACTTGGAGAACTACAAACCTTCCCTGCATCAGCTGACTGAACAGCCATAGAGACAGGATGGAGGAGAGCTCTCCTTCGCCCCACTCCAGCTTTGCAAAGTACTTTGAAGGCCTGACTGTGCAAGTACAAAACAGCAGATAAAGCCATGCTGTATCCAGCCTCAGCAACACCCATTCCAGCAACTGTTGGCTCCACTGGACTTGCAGTGCTAGAAGCAGTTACACCTCCATATGGCCCATCTCAAGCAAGCAGCTTCAGCTCCTCTTCTCCAGGAGAAAAAAAAAATCACAGCCTGAGATGCAGAGAGCAGAGGGAGGAGCAAGATTCTTCTCACAGTTTAGCAGTTTTCCTTCCAGATTTCAGAGAACCCTCTAAAAAGCTGAAGCCAGCTTGCCTGCCTTGCTCACTTCGCATACCTCTACTGCAGCACCGCAACCACTGCAGTGGCTCTGCTCTCGCTCAGCAACACAAACAACCCTCTGTCAGGCAGCTGCCAAACTGGGGGCAGCTATTAGGAGAATTAAAAGTGGGAGGGGAGCAAACTAGCTTTCTAAGAAAAAAAAGTGTTATTTTAACATTTCCTGAAGTGAGGCAATCACTCGGGGCTGCTGCCAGCTACAGTCACAACACTTACTCACAACCAGGACCTCATCTGGCATAGAAAATAGAGCATGAATCAGGTCTGGTTTAAAAATAAGGTTGCTGGACATAAGCAGCAAGGCTTCAGCTAGAAGGTAACAGGGAAGGTTTACGTATGTCCTAGGTTAAGGATCAAGTCATCAGCCTCCCTACAGCTTCTTATTGCAGTTCTGGGGGATGCTGTGGGAACAGCACACTCAGATCTGGTAATCCTTAAAAAGAAACAAGACTTCCTTTCCTTGTTCCCTTATCATTTGTCAAGTGCAGAAGGGAAAAAATCCTTGATATCCTTTAGAAGTCTCACCCCAACAGACATTACTAAGCTGTAATACAGCTAATTGCAAACTATTTGTGGACTTCAGGTGCATGGCTCTGATGGACAGTCCTCACTGTCCTGTCTTTAAGCCCACATGCTTGTATGAGCTCAAATCCTCAGTTTTACATCTCAAAGCTGACCAAATCCATTATAAGACTTCTGAAATCACTCTGCTGGAAGTTTTCCCTTTCCAAGGAGATGCACATTAATGCTGACTGGATGCTATGGTTTTTAAAAGGTTTTGGTGCAACTTATTTGCTTAGGCTGAGAGAAAAACCATCAGGCTGCTGCAAATGAGTCATGTGTTGTTCTGCAGAAAGAACCAGAAAAACTATCTGGCATTCCCAAGGCCTATGGCACATGGACAAAGGCTGTCAACAAGGTGTTGGCTACAGCATGCTTGGAAGCCTACAGGCAAGTTCAGCTGTTGGAACAATGATTAGGATAAAGGAACAAAACATTGGCAGGAGGAGAAGAGGCAGAGATTTCCTGAGAGCTGTACAGTACATGTGAAAACACTGTATAGGAAGCAACAACCAAAACAAAGCAGGCTGCCAGACTGCAGGAGTATTGCTGCAGACTATTTTGAAGCATAATGCTCAAGAGAAGTAAGAGAATACAATTCAGTACTCTCCATTAGCAAAACAGTGCTTCATTCATTATGATTTATTTTGCCAACATAAGCTTTTATCATATTTTTCTCAAGGCTGCTGTACCTCAAAGGGAATCACCACAGTTAGAGACAACACAGACAACTGAAACACACTTGTAGGATAAGCCTCACTGCTTGCTTCAAGAAGAAAGCACCCTTTCCTGAATTCAGGCATTCATCACCTGCCTTATTATGACTCTTTCCCCAAGCAGCCTAATAACACAAGACGAAGGACTGTAGCCAGAAAAAAACAGAAATAAAGGGGGAAAGAGACTGCAACAAAGAGGTCAGCTAGACAGAGCAGGTCAGATACTGAGCATACACCACAATTCAGGTGCAACACAGCTCCTTATCAGGGCAGGACAGTCGCTCTGTTCAGAGCTGGCTCCACTGTCCTGGCACTAAGCTGGCCTACAACTGCAGTGGCATCTTGTCCTACAATCAGCAGGCACAATTATGCTTCTTCACGCACCAGACAATACAGGCACTTTTCCCCCAGCAGGACAGACAGATGCTTACCTTCCTAACTAATGGATTAATGCTCTGGTTATCTTGACGTGAGATGCAGCCAGCCATAAATGAAAGGACACACTAGGGATCCAGCCACTCCAAAACTTCTGAACGCTAGAGGTTTAAGTACAAATGCAAACACTGAGTACTTTCATCTACCACATCAACAGCTCAGGCTCTCTGGAATTCTGCTCTGCTTTATAAATATATGCCCATTCCCATGGCACTATTTTATTCCCATGCTATTTTCAGTTTTTCTGTTATCCTTCTAGACTTAAAAAAGCTTTGAAACAATTACAAAGGGGTCTCGGAGCAAAGCATTCACTATTCCTTTCAGGGAGTTAGGCATCCCCTCAGTTTAGCTATTCACAGCAAGATGATTTGCTGTACTATAAAGACATCCTAAGCCTCACAGCATCTGCTTACCAGAAACAGATCAAGGTAGGAGATAAACCATTTCAACTGAAGGTGTCAGAGTCCTTGCAGCTCAATGGGAAGAACATAGCTTTTTGCAGAGCTTTGTAAAGAACAGAACATGTATGGCAGTCAGAGCAGAGTTGGTTTCCAACTACTATTTAGCAATCAGCATGAATCAGGCCATGTATTTACCTACTACAGACATCTCCAAACCGAAGCAGACATTTCAGTTCACTTCACCAAAATGTTGTGTACAACAAAGCAGAAACATCCTCTGTTGTGCCCGTGGTCCCTTAAGCTGATGGTGAAATGCAACCAAGAACCCAATCATGCTGACGCCACGCAGACAGCAGCCTTAGATATCCACAACAGGATTTTGTTTCCTGGTATCAAATCAACTTCAGTTGCTTCCTTAATGTCACCAGATCCCCTGGGGAAAATCTCAAGACATGAATTTCACATAGCTAGATTAAAAAAAAGCCATCCACACTCAAAACATTGCTTATCATTTCAAGTCAATTCACTTCATTCCTATCTATGTCAGCACTCAAACTCATTCACCTCATCTAAGCACACAACAAATGCAACCCAGGCTATCAATGCACTGTATGTAAGCCAAAGAACGCTCGCCCAAACTGCCCTCACTGTTTCATCTGAAGCCAAGAGGTTGTTCCCCTGCAAGTTTTATCACATAGGGGGAGGTTATTTCAGGTATCTCCAAGTGACACAGGAATTTTAACAAGGTACTGTGTGTATTTTCAGCTCAATTGGAAAGCAACTTAACAGCAAAAGCTCTTGAAGTCCCCAGTATTTGTACCAGCCATTCCGAAACTCACTGTCACCACTGTTCCATTGACAACCCCTGAGCTGACGTTTCCATTTGGCATGGATGGTTCACAACTCAAAACCCAAAAGAGCATTCGGAGTTCTAGGAGCAGCCCAACCAAAACAACGAAAAGCAAAAAACACTTAGTGGAAAGCTCATGCTGTTGTTTAAGCACCTGTGAGGCACTCAATCGGCCACTGAAAACAGATGTTTTCATTAGATCAAGTACTGGCAAGCC